TTTGCGTGTGTGAGTGTGTGAGTGTGAGTTTTAGGAAGCAGATGACAAAGACGGTGAGGGGCGGCCGCCTCTGCGAGCGGTCGATGTATCAAGAGACAGATTAGTGTCAAGAATCTCTTCCTTTTTGTATTTGACCTTGTCTCGCGTTGGCAGGCCGTGTCATAAATCAAACATGTTGTCACACACGGGTTGTGTTGCATGCATGTGAGTGTGTGTGTTTGACAGGGCTGCAGCTGACCGCTGTTGTCATTATTCCTCCGCTAAGGCAGAGATCATCTGTGAAGGTATGTTTTCAGCACTCTGGGTCGCTCGCTGTTTTAGTCAGTGGGATTAGGAGGGGAGGGAACTGCTGGGGTGAATTTCATGACAGACATCTGTAAAAGTGTTCATTTTGAAATTAAAAAATATATATACCTTTGTTGTTGTTAAAGGAAGAAATATGATGCTTTTCAAATAGATGTCTCAAACTCGGGTTTGGACTTTGGATATTCTTTGAACGAAACCACTGATTTCTAGCTTTTATTGTTTGTGAATTTGTTGTCCTACTGGAGGTCAATTTCCAGTATAATTCTTCCATTATTGCACTGTATTTAGATTACTCCATCTTCCCATTAATTTCAGCAGAAAGAAGAAAAGCATTCCCACAGCATAATGCTGCCATCAACATGTCTGTGTGTGGGGGTGGTGTGTTGAGATTTTTCTTTGGTATTTTTGATGCCGTTTCTTCACTAATATTCTCTAACAAACCTCTGATCCCTTCACAGAACAGCTGGTGAACTGGTGTTTGCTAATTAATGCAATTGCTGATGTCACATAAATTAGATTTTATATGAAAGTAAAATAAAGCGGTCGAACAAAAAACAGAGTAAAGGGTGTCAATACAAATCCACACCACAGATTTTTATTTGTAAAAAAGAACAGGAAATCATGCATTAATTTCCTTTCAGTTCACAACTTTATCAGTTCATTACATATGATCTACATAGATTACGTTGAGGTCTGTCGTTAGGCTCTTCAAGTGCCACTAAAATTAATTAAAATAAATGAACAAAATGGAACAAAAACATTAAAATAAGATGGTGACAGAAGCTTGCAGATCCGTTGCTGCATATACTGAACTAAGCCACTTGACAGGTTACCAAACCAAACAAAACTGAAACCAGAAGTAGAACTGGAATAAAGTTTATAAAACAGTCACAGATCAACTATTCATTGTTTAATTAAGAAAAAAAATATAACCAGCTCGTCATTCCCAATTTCTGTGGAGATGTGACTGCATAAATAAATAGGCACAAACTGAATTTTATTGAGTCATTTTGCATTCTCTGATTGATGTGAATAAATCACACAGCAGCCTGACAGCCAGAGGGGGAAATCTGCTGCAGAATCTATCGCTGTTCTGCTTTGGATGCTTCGATTCCTCTTTCCAGAAGCCAGCAGAGAGAGCAGTCTGCGGTGAGGCAGCGGGGATCTTTAATGCTATTATACGCTTTGGACAACTGGCATTTTAAGCAGTGCTATGAATTTGATGGAAAGTTTGTGTTAATCTTTCTCCGTTTTTATTAAAAAAAAAAAAAAAAAAAAACTATTTGAACTGATTTTGTTTTGCTTGAAAAGAGTTTGGAGTTAAGCTGTACCCCAAGGTGTACTCTTTGTTAGTTTATTTGCTTTTTATTTAAGTTATTTATTTCCTGCTTTTAATGTTTAAGGATAAATTCATAGTTTTTATATTAGAGACGCATTTACAAAGTTCAGGACTTGGAGACATATTTTACTCATTTTAAGGCATTAAGTGCGTTCTTATAAATTAAGTTCCTTAAAGTATTTCATGCTTTTAAATAATAATTGATTAAATAAATTATTGTTCTTGTTTAGATATCCGTAATAATCTAGGCGGTACTGCAGTCACACGAGAACGCCAGTAAACTTGACATTCGTGAAAAAACTGTGTGTGTGGCAGAAAACACTAATAATGCAAATCACGCTGAATAAATCTTCCCAATTGTAAAACATGGCGGTGGCAATTTTAAGACACTGATATGCTTTTATTAAAGCCGGTCAGAGTTGAAAAAAACTATTGGAAGCTGCAAAAAAACTTTAAACTTTGGCGTAGCTGCAAAAGGATGTGATTTTCCACGTGGGGTGGGTAATTGTTTGTTTTTGTGGGTTTGTTTTTGTTGATCTGCACAGAACTTTGAGCTGCTTTCAGCATGAAGGGTGCTTTAAAAATAAAATTGATTTATTTATTTATTGATTGATCAAAACACATTTAAATGTTAGAATGGCCCAGTCAAAGGCCAGACCTAAATCCTCTTGAAAGTCTGTTGATTGATTTATAGATGTTCTCCATTCGATCTGATTCAGTCTGAATAACTTTACGAAAAGAAATTGGGGGATTTTTAGACTTCAATGTGATTGTCTAACACATAATAACACCTCAGTAAATTGTATTCAATTACTTGCTAAAATATAAATTAAAAAAAACAGTTGAAGTCTCTGTAAGTTCACTTTTCTTCACAAGCAGAAAATATGAGGATCAGGATGAAAACACCAGAATGCCAGCATGAAGCATCGGTAACCACATCTGAGTGGAAAGACGGTGACTCACTTAAATGACTTAGAGCCCATCGGACACTGACTGACTCAGAATGACGGGCAGATGGACGGAGAACAGAGGTAAAGAGTGAAGTGGAGGTTAATAACAATCGTCAGTTTGACAGCAGCAACTACACCTATCAATGAAGAATCTGCAATTTTATTTTTTTTAAACAGAAATGATGGATGGTATAAAAACCCAATGTGCTCATGCGCAGAGAAGCTAGATTTGGATGACTTGTTATATGTGGCAAGTCACACATTCAACTGAAGGCAAAAAAAAAAAAAAAAAGAAGAGAGAGAGATGCCCCCTTTCATCTCATTTCTATCTCAGTCTCCCCAAAGTGACTCTCCCTTTATCTGTCAGATGCCTCCGTCCATTCTGGAGTGCTAATTTATGTCACACACCTCTACCGCCACATGACTTCACTGTCCTCTGCATTCCTTCCCTTCAGATCAGTCCCCCCGTCTCACTCTCCACCCCCAATCTGCCAACGTCTTCTGCTCTTCCTCCCATCTGTCCCGATCTTTCTCCTCTCCCTCGTCTCTGCCGACATTAATCAACAAAACATGACTGACTTGACCACACATGCAGCACCCACATCCTACCTAAGCGAACACACCCTGTTAAAAGAAAGGCCAGGTTAGTGTGACGTAAAAAACAGAGAGAGAGAGAGAGAAAATAAAAACAACATTCAGATTTCTTCGGTTTGAGTTTCATCAGTTTGATTTGGGAATATTTGCTCACGTTTCACAGTAAAAGATTGTGATTGATTCAGGTGACCCCATCCAAACAAACATTATCTGTCAGATTCTCTGCTGAGCCCTTGCTCTCTTAATCCAAAACACTCATTTTACTCACATGAATACATGTTTTTTTTTTTTTTTTTGCATATTTGGATGTATGCATGGTTTCACTGTAATACGGAAAAATATAATCAATTTTCATCTCAAACTTTAAAGAATTAAACAGAAGATTTAGGACCGAACATAAATGATGCTTGGTGTTTCTCTTGTTCAACCTTTTCAAACCTTTGTTCCATCTGAAGGAAAATAACCCCAGAGCATGATGCTGCCATCACCATATTTTGCTGTATGTTTTTCTCTTAATAATTTGTGCAGTGTTGTTTTTTTTTTAAATTGCCAAACAGACTAAAAGTTTTAGTCCATTATATTCTTCAGATGATAACATGTTGTCAGGATTTTTGAGATTACTGCAAGGCCTGGATGTTTTCTTTGTGAAAAAAAACTGTGCTCTTTAATTCATACTTATAGAGAACAGAACAGAATAGAATAGAATAGAATAGAAAAATCTGTTATTGTTCCACAGTGTGGGAATGAAGATGTAACAGCAGCAAAATGCCTGGCAATGAAAGGAAGCTGGTTCACACAAAGATAAAACATTAAATATATAAAAACACATATATGAACGACATACTGTACTGTGTGCAATCAGGGCAAAATTACAACAGAATACCATGCAGTTATTAAAAATAGCATACTCCAATCCAAAGGAATGTCCAACTGAGTAGGATCATTTGAAAAATATAAGACTACCCGTCCAGATATTCACTAGGCGGGTAGGAGAAGGAACAAACTGAGTGCGGATTGGTGGGATAGTGGGTAGATCTGGGAATGGTTCTCGCTTTTATTCTTTAAAGATGGATGAACAGAGAGCTCCCGACTCACCCTCGGACAGAAATGGAGAAAATATTTCTGCAGACAGACAGGGGAATCCAGCAGCTCTTCCTTCAAAAATCACTTACCAGATAAGTCATATGGTGTGGGCATGTTTCCAGGGAAGAAGGTCAGCTGGATGTAAGGTGATTCCCAGAACAGCTGAGGAGCTCACAGAGACCCAACGAGTCGAAACATAACAAGACCAACTTGCAATTAAAGTGGACAATCAGGCACTGAAGCTGAATCCTTAATAACATCCAGTAGATTACCAGATGAGCTTAATGTTTTTTAGTTTTTCTCCCATTGTAAACACATTACATTTTAACAAGGGATGGATACACTTTTGAGAGCCACAGTGTCTCCTGCCCCTTTCTCACTGTCCAGACTGTGCCTGCAGCTTTCAGGCTGCAGAAGGCTCATAGACAGCTAGTGCTAATTTGTAATCAGCAAGAGAGAAGGGAAATGACCAGAAAGAGACGAGAGGGGTAATAATGGGCGATGTTAGGCGTGGTTGCCTTGAGATAGGTCAAATAAAGAGGGAAGGGAGGCGCGAATGATGAAGAGATACTCCAAAGTGAGAGATAGGTGCAGAGATGACTCAGATGATAAGAAAAGAGACTCTGCATCAGTCTGACTGTAAAGGAGAATCCTATGCTGCTTTTTTTTTTTTCCTTGTGGGTATACGTGCAGTTTTTTGGAGTGGGGATGTGGGAGGCAGGGAAAGAGAGGTGGAGGGGGGTGTAGTGTGTGGAGACAGCCGCTGCGGTGCATTGTCAGGCTGAGCGCACGCAGGAGAGGGAGACAGAGAGAGAATCCCCCATTTTAGCTCAACAATATTACAGCAGTGCAGCGATATCTACAACAATGGCAGTCTGGCACTCTCAGCATAGTGCTATCGATCCAAGCAGTGGAAACCCAACACATGCACACGCTCTCTGATTTTTATTTTATTTTAGTCATTATTTTGCATGTAGTTCTCAGATGAAATTGATGGGGGGGGGGAGAAAAACTGCAGAAATTCTCACTGAACACGCTCAGTGGTGCAGGTAAGAAACTGTTGGTGATCATGACGGCAGAAATCTGTAAAAATCTCACGTGACGTGTGTGTTTTAAATCGTCGTGGTGATGTCTTGCATCCTTAATTTAGTCTTAATCTGCTCCCCGCAGGCACACTGACTTACTAACCGGATCTCTTCTAAGACACCGCACTGGAGACGGAGAGCACGAGTGAGGGAGAGGGCGATCGAGCAAGCGCAAGAGGAGGGGAGAGGAACAGAGGGAGCACAGCAGAGTAAAAAGAGGAAAAAACAGAGGAGGAGGAGGAAGAAGAAGAAGAAGAAGAGAGAAGGAGAGAGTCGCAGGAGGAAGGAGGAGGAGAATGCTCGGCGTCTGGGCAACACTTCCACGCTTGTGTCCAGGGCCTTTGTGAATACACCATGGGATGCATCGGCTCCAGGAGACTGAGTAAGCAGCTCTTCTTTCCTCTCTCTTACTGCGGGATAGAATAGAGGGGCTGGCCGGGGTGATGATGGGGGAGGAGGAGTAGAGAGTGGAGACAGAGGGGGTTCCTGCAGAAGCATGCAGGGGGTTCTGCGTGCTTTTTTTTTAAATTCTTTGTGTGTGTGTGTGTGTGTGTGTGTGTGTGCGTGTGTGTGTGTGTGTGTGTGTTTGAGAGAAAGCTGCTTGTTTTGGAAAGCTGTGCCCATGGAAGCGGTGCACATAGCATACTGGCAAAGGTGTCACTGACGATATTTATTAAAATCTGTGAGTGTGTTGGAGTATGTGTGTGTGCGCGTGCGTGTGTGTGGTTGCGTGTGTGTGGGTGCATCCCCGCATCTCCCTGCATCCCCTCTCTTCCCTGCCTCCATCCTCACTCAACCCTTGATTTATGATGCTGTTTGGCAGTATGTATATGTGTGTGAGTAGGAGGCAGAGGGATGGAAAGCGGAGAAAGGCGAGGGGACAGCTGTGATAGTGCTTATTTATAGATAGACATGGCTTGGAGGGAGAGAAAAGAGGAAACGGGACAATGCAACAGCACTGTTTGTTGTTATTTATGCAAATAATCGGGACGGATGAGGAGGAGGTAAAGAAAGGAGAGGCAGGCGTGCAGGGAGGAGGGGAGAGGAGACAGGCGGATGGCAATGTAGAAGAGGTGGAAGAGGGAGGGGCAAACGCATGCAGGGGATTGCGTGTGGTGCTGATGGGAGTTTTCAGGTGAGGACAGTCCTGGACAAACCCACGTTAAGTACAGCAGAGCAACAACAAGGTTGCCGCTAACAGAGGATGAAGTGTGAAGCTATCGTTGCAGGTAAACAGTCGTTGTTTACATGCAAATGGTTCCCGTACGGTGCACTTCCAGATCCACTGTAACTGTAAAACCTGAATCACAGTTAAAAGAGAAAACAAAAATCCCTTCACTGTTGTACATTAATGCTTCAGTCAGCACTTTCAGGAGACAAAAAACGGAGGATGTCAACCTTGTTTTGCAAACAATGGGACAGTTGAAAAGGTGGCGCTAAAAAGAGATAACTCTCTAAAGATCTTTGTTTTTTTGTTAAACAAACTGATGGCATTTCAAAGCTTCTGAATATTCTACTGAGGCCTTAATATTTCTTTACAATCCGGCCAGAACCAGGTTCTCCTTGAAAGATCTCTTACAGAGGTCAATAGAAGAATCAGGAGAGTTTTCCCCATTTCTCAAAGCTTTAGAAAGACTTTTCTCCAAGTGGAGTTTTTCCTTCAAAATAACAGCTAATGCATTCAAACATAATGGCTTTTAAGCATACACTGCACAAGACTTCACTGCTGAAGAAAAACCATGCCGAAGCGCATTTAAAGTTTTCGGAAGACGATTTTAGACAAATCAATTAAATCCTTGGAAAATACACTCTAGTCTCATCAGACCAACATGTAGATATTTGGTTGTCATTCAACACACCATGTTTGAAGGAAAAATGTTACTCCACATCACTCTTCAAACTTCTTACCAATGGTGAAGATTCTGCAAAATGAAACAATTGTGGCAAGAAAATGATCTCAAACATGCAGCACAGGAAGGGGTCAACTCAAGAAAGAAAATAAAGCTGCTGAAATATCACAGTGTAACACCCAACTTGAATCTAAAAGAAATAAATAACTGAGAAGTAGCCTTTAAAAACTTAAAATAATATAAAATGGCTTTTTTCCTCTCTATTCCTCTTACATGAAAACTTAATTCACAAACTAGCTTGTTTGATTTCTTTGTATGTTTGAAGGACTTGAATAGTTACTAATGTCTTCTGTGTATTTAGTGTCAGTAGCTGTAATAGAAATATATTGAGTAAGACAAATATTTAAGTATTCAATGCTTATTTTTCCTAATGTATTTACAGCAAAAGGATATATATATATATATATTTTTATCAGGACTAGGTTATAGATAGTTGGGTTTATTTATTCATTCCTAACTAAATGTGATGATGAAGAGGATCTTAAAAATAAGCAGGATTTGCAAGTTCAGAAAACGGCGAGAGGACTACATGACACAGTTAGGAAACCAGGTGTGAACTGAATACAGCAAAAACAGCAGAAAATAATAAATAAATAAAACATCACAGCAGCCTGGGTTGTCCAGAAAGCTTTATGTGGCGCCTTTCAAAGGACAGGAGGAAGCTGGGATCCTCTATCAAAACACAGGTCAGACCAGAGTGGCTCCAGCTGACGGAAATAATGTGACTGAAAGACGCTTTTTAAGATGTTCTTGTGTTTTTCTTATAAAAGCACAGAGGATGTTCACAAATAACGACAATTGTTTTATAGGTTCCGCATAAGTGATCATTTGCAACTGCTGCATTGTTCCAGAACACCATCCCTCTGTGTCTGTGTGTCTGCTTGGTTTGTAGCCCTCAGCTTTCAATAAATATTCCAAGCACTGTAATGCACCACAGCGTAGCACAAATATGTAAACAAACAGCACTTAGGAGAACAACTATCCGGCGTTATCAAGCCGCTTAGGTCCCTGATTCCCTTGTGAAGCAGCGGAATCAGCAGCAGTCCTGCCAGTCTGCAGGCGTGGCTGTGTTTATCCTGAGTGAGAATGGCTTTGGTGTGCTCTATTGATCGGCCTTCTCAACTGCAGTCCACGCTGCCAAGTGGAGATCAACAGGAGCAGCAGCAGGCAGCAGGACCGGCCCTGTCTTTGTGCCGGAGCGTGTAGCCCTGATGTCTGTCTGCATGTCTGTCTGTCAGTCCAGCTCCGTCATAACATACACTGTGTTCACCTTCCAGGGTCAGAATTTGTAAAATAAATGCCTGTCGTAGTAACAGGGACCCCCATAAAGCATGAGAAGTTTCAAACCAGTAGGGAACAAATTATATGATTACATATGAGATACATCAGTTGGCCATTACTGCAGCTTTGAATATTTTGCTACGACACTCTATTCTTCTTTCGGCATTCATATCTAAGGTAGTGGTTATGAAACCTTTGTTGTTTACATGCTTACTGACAGAGATCTTAAAATCATGGTGCAACACCAGTCGCCATCTACATGTGGTGGGTTGAATGTGACGGTTTCCAGCTACTATAAAATAACTCCATGTTAACTTTCCATGTAAGTCCTCCTACTTTTACCATTGATTATGTTATAAAAACAACATAGTAACATAAGTTTACCAGAAAGGTCCACAGAATCCAAAGCGGCAATCAATTTTGAAATCCAACATGGCTGCCGTCCATGCATATATTACCAGCTGTGGAGAAAAAAAAAAAACAAACAAAAGTTTATTTGTGCTTAAAATATGCAATCAAGTCTTTCATTCACACATTATACAACGTCCACCAGTAAACATGTTGCAACAGTATATGAGTACAACATAAGGAAATAGATGTGGATAGCTTGTGTTTCTAACAGTTAGCGTGGTCAGACGGTTTATCAATTAGCATCCCATTGATTATCAAATTTAGGGTTTGGAACATATTCCAACAAACTGACTGAAAAGTTATTCAGAAACAAATGAAACCCAACATCACTTGTTTCAGCTGTTTCAGCAGCTCTTGAAATTACCCCCTCTTTTCACTACTTATATTTACCGCTGGACAATTACTTCTCCAGCTTAGTAGAATGACTGCCCCTACAGTGGCAGAGCAGCATCGGAGCAACAACAAAAACACTCTTGAATGACTCAGACAGGTCCAAAAAAAGTCAAATTTTCCTCAGTCGTTCTCTAAACTCCCCCAGACACCAAATCTGATGGGATTTGGTTACATCTTCAGGAAATATGACCCACCAATACCACAGCAGACACAGCAAAAGTCCAGAAAACGGCCTGCAGGATTTTAACACTTTTATGCCTCACTTAAACAATGTGTTACCTCTATCACCTGTAGTCAAATCTTACAAAGGCCTATTATTAAGCCTTAAATCTTGGCTATTGAAGAAGAGAAACACGGATACTGTGCCCAAGAACAAGGAGGGAATAAATGCCACAACTGTCCCTGTTCACCCTCCGGTGTTTTTTGACCGTGCCTTGAATGCTTAGAAGATTTAGGCCACAAAGAAGGGGCAACAAAATATAAGGTTGTTAAATAAGATATTACAGAAAAGTTGGAGCTTGTTGTTTAATTTAAAATTTATTAAACCTTTCATGGACTCGCATGAGCTAAGACACCGGATTGCGTCAAAATTCCATAAAACCTGGTTGAGAACATAAAATAATCAGATCCAACCGTGATCCATGTTGTTTGCAATGAAGCTCTTTATTTTTTTTTTTCTTTTGCTTTGTCATCCAGTTCATGAAAGAGCCTGCATCAATCCATCACAAGGGGAAGGCCTTGAGATGCAGCAGACAGAGCTGAACGTTTTTCATAAACCTGTCGAATCAATACAATAATTACCACCTATGTGAACCAGGAAGACCGCATTACATTGATTCTACTTGTATCTGTCAGATTACGCTCCTGCGCGGGAATACAGCAGCATCAGTTTAAGACTGTCACAACCACGTAGCAATTATTGCAATTCTGAGATCTGGAGCTGCTAATTCTATTAGCGATCGCTGTGCAAAAAAAGCTGCACATCAGAAGCGTTTTCTCTGTTCCTGCTTATTGGCGCTACACCTGTGAGTGCTTGAAACATTAATCATTGTTTAATTTGGGTTTGCTGTGTGTAGAATGACTGTAACTGCGTTGCTTAAGGCTGCGGAGTTGATGTGGTAGATAGAAACAAGGGTTAATGTCTGTGGGATCCTCTGAGTGGACGATTATCTGGCCTCACCTGCTTGTTTGGAAATGCACCAGTTCTATAAAAGAAATTAAGAACCGAGAACCTAGTTAATCACAGAGGAAAGCCCCTCAGTTATTTGTGCACCAGAGGTTTAAATGAGACTGTGAAGACAGAGTACAAATAAGTGAAAATACAAGGTGCTCACAACAGACACAAGAATTGAAACACCATCGAAATATCGTAGCTAAAGTTCTTCAA